GGACATGTTCACCCAAATTACCATTTTCCCAAAGACTTCTGGTGGCAGACAGACTATTAATAAAGTTAACACACCAACTGACTGTTGAAAATTAGCCACACTGGTGTTGTACATAGAAAACATACATTATTCATTACATATAACTCACTGAACGTTCAGAGAAACTGTGGGAGAAACAGAAAACAAGACATGTATGGTTTAACAAGTAGCCAGCCTACGGTTATGACATAATTGCAGACTGTTACCCTTCATGTTAGCTTTGCCCCAGAGACTTACTGAAGCTAAGCTAACATATGCTAACTAAATACTTGCCTTTAACCAAACGCAGGGAACCCATGCAGGGGAGGCCAGCTGGCTACTGAGACACAGTAAGACCAGGTATATGATTTCTTTCTCATTTCCTATGCAAGCTAACCCCCCAAAAATCAGAGTGAAGAAAGTGATATTATAGTCAGCAGTCAACCCTTGATCCAAACCTGATAAAGTAATACAGCATAGGTGTGATTACTAACTGTAGTGTAATTCGTCAGTTCCATAATGTAATCTTTTATTAACACAGCTTGAAATAAATAAATAAGTCATATATACTGGATTTGTCTAGTTTCTTTCTCCCAATTTAATCCAACGTCAGGGACTCTGGGAGTCTTACTATTACCAGCATTTTTTTTCTTTGGCATGCTTATTTAACATCTGTGCACCTGCGTGAAAAAACTGAAGCCGTTCCAAATAGATTTAGAAAAAAAATATGTAAGAAAATGCCCAGTATCATATTTCATTTTGGCTCAAATTCAAATTTCCATCTGAAATAACTAGAGAAAGGATTCTTTTTAGCTCACAACTCCAATACTTCAGCCAGTGGCAGCAGGTCTATAACCAACACACACACTGACACACACACACACACCTATAACCAACAGTCATACGGGCTTTCTCTTTCTGTCAGTGTCCAACTCCCTTGCCCTCTCTCTATCTCATTTCTGCACAGTGGGGTATAAATGTAAATACACAGTTACACACACACATATATACACACACGCCTCCACACACAGCCTGGAGCAGCCTCCTGTCTTTCTGTATAATAATGTCTCCAGTGGAGCGAGTTGCTGTACTTTTTTCACGGGAGTCCGCCTTCATCCCACCCATTCAAACAGCCATCCACCACCGAGCTGGGGGTTGCCTCCACCAATCTGACATCGAGCTCAGAAATTCAGTTCTGCCCGGTGGTAACGCAGACCCACTGCTGGCAGCAGACAGACAACGCACCTCCACGCTTGCACAAGGGGAAAATTTTAAAGTTCACAATAAAATATGGTTGGAAATTATGCTCATTTGACAACTTATGCAAGGTGTGCGCCACTGCTTGAGTAGGTGCGTGCATATCTATTGTCACGTGCACACGAGTAAACAGCAGTGTTGATCTGGGAGCAATCAGACCGTGACAGACTCTGCAGCACCATCCCACAGGCCTATAGTGAGGAAAAAGACTGCACTGCTAGGCATAGCCATTTCCTCTAAATGACCGTCTCTCTCCCCTCCCTTCCTCACATCACCACCGGGGGAGAGACTGACTCCATGTCTCGACACAGCACTGCTAAAGCTGGGGTCAGCCTGTCCTGCTCTAACCTCAGTCTTGGAACGCTGGGGACACATCACAGTATTGGAGGAGGGAGGCTGGGGAGGACGGAGAAAAGCGTGAAGGATGTTGAACCTAAATTCAACACTTTCCCTGAGAGATGCTTGCTGTGAATCCATTGGCGTTTTTCCATTCTTAAAAAGTTTGCATCAGCAACCATGTGTCTTTCCCCTCCTTTGATGCCCAATCACCATCAAAGGGCACCGAGGCAATGAACTGTTCGCCCTCCGCATCCAGCTGGAGTTTAAAGGGAACATCACGTATGGGTGAAAAATGGCTCGCCAGTCTCTTGCCTTGAGTAGGTAATTGGAGATGATATAGTTGAGATTTAGTTCTGGGCAAAGTCACTTCAGAGTCGCAGACGTTTCACTTCCCCTTTCAAAGACTGACACCAGAGGAATAGTACTCTGCCGAAGGTTTTACACAGCTCATTTCCCCAATCCCAAAAAAGCAAGGAGAAGAGAGCACGAGCAGAATCTGAGGCGATCTTAGATCCTAGAAGCTCCTTGTTCCCTTTTCCGTTTATAACAATCGGAAAGGAAAAAGGAATTCTGCAATTGCATTACCTCTCTGCGTGAGGGCCCTGGGGAACGTTCATGTCTTGAACACTAAGCATTCATTTCCTTGTTCTCCACAAGGATCCCTGGGAGGCCATGTTGTCTGATTCATTTCACTGAATTGTCAGCTAATGAATGGTACGCGTCCATCGACTGCCACACACTTTCTCGGAATAGAAAAGCCCCCAAGGGTGCTCATCTTGGGGGTTCTCCTATTCTCATTAGGAGGGAATCAAACGGAAACAGAGGCTCACTGATCATTTCTCATGTCCTCTGTGTGTGTGTGTGTTCCATGGAGTGGGGGTGTGGCTCCATGCGAAGGCGTCTTTCTCTCTTTGACTTGGTGATCACCGTTTTTGGACGTTTGCATCTTTGAGGGCATGTTATTGACCGCTTTTGATTGAGCCTTTAAACAAAGACGACTAGCGGACTCTCTGGGACAGTATTAGTAAGTGATCTGTCTTGCTGGCAAAGCATTACAAGCCACTTCAGGCATGAGAGGCAACAAGGTTATGTAAGATTGACAGGTGAGAATTGTTAAAGAAAATCTTCACTCGAGACCTGAATTCAAATATCGTTCTCCTGCAGCCTCCTCAGCTGTTGTTCCTCTCCTTTTATAAGTCCTCTGTGCCTTTTTCTGTCTCTCTGAGTTGTGCCATCCTGCATCCTCCTCAGTAACTCACCATCTACACCAACCCTTTCTTCTTCCTCTGCTGGTGTCCACAACACCCAGTAATGTCCGCTAATGGGATTTTCCGTGTCCCTCCCGTGTCACAACAACAGCACCTTTCTCTTTCTTTCTTTTCTTCAGGCAGTTTTATCGTCAGCATAAGTCACTGACTCAATGCAACCTGTCTCTTTCCACTGTTACCACCCTCTCCCTCTTCTTCTCCATCTTCCACCCACCGTCCACTCGTTTCCCACTCTTCCCTCTAATCTCACCTCATGTTCTACCTGTTCACATTTCATCCACTCCCTCTTCCTCCATACTAACCCCCTCCAATCCATTGATTTCTCCTAGCCTCCCCCTCTTCCTCATCCTTCTCTGCCCTCCTTTTACATCCCCTTTCCCCTTGTTACTCCCCACCTGTGCAAAGGCTATTTGGTGTGAACAGTTAATAACGGAATCATAGTGGGTTCTTTATCTTAGCCACATTACAAGATAAGGTATTGATATTGAGACTAGTATTTGTAGAAGCAATCATATTTTTTCCCACAGAAGAGCCATGTAATATCACAGCTGGTCCAGGGAAAAATGCCCAAATGTGCTCACGTGATCAAATGTACACTCAAAGATAAACGCATTCACATTCATCACAGATGTACATAAACACATTTGCAGCTATGGTATTCACAGACATTGAGCTGATTGCACCCAAACACCCCGGTGCAACAACAATGTATAATACATGAGCTTTCCACATACATAAACATGTCTCGCACTGATCAGAGTCATTATAGTCGCTTAAGACCCATCATGTGTGTTTGTGCATGTGTGCGCGTGTGTGTGAGGGAGTCATTCATGTATCACATTAGTTTTTATGTATATGTTCAACAGGGGGCCATCATGGCAGAGATTTTCCTCTTGAGAATTGACCCAGCTGCATCAAAAGCTTGCTGTGCACCCTACAACATGAAGAAATTATATATAGACGTGGCAGACCCACTTTTCTTGCTCTTACAAAAATAAAGCACGGCAGTAGGCTGCCATAATCGATATAACCTGAGAAGGCAGGTCATAAATCTAAGCAAATGTATTTCCCAGTAGAGCAAAGGATGCTTAAGGTCTCACACAAATGAGAGAACATATATATTATATATATATATATACATACATATATTAGAGTTGTGCAAAAACAGAACACTTTGCAAAGGCACAGGCACGTCACCAGACACCCGTGGATATGAAGCCAAATACTGATTATCACCGACTTATAGGGTCGCGTAATAAATGGACGCAATTAAGCTGGGTTTTTGAAGCGACTCGCAGCCGATCACCCTCATTAGGGACGCGCTGAACCGCAGACAAATTTCCACATACGGACGGCGCGCAGGTAAAATATTTGCCGCGGGGTGTCGGTGCTCCGTATAGTGACAGTCTGTCAGTAGCAGTGCACTCCGTCTGTTGGGAATCGGCTCGCACGCGTAAAAACACTGCGCCCGTCCGGCTTGCATTGAAAGTGGCATCCTCTTCGTTCTGTGATCAGAGGAATAGACACCCGACTGAATCAATGAAAGAACGACCAATAAGATAATCAATCGGTATGCACAACAGTAAGTATGTTGTGAAATTCCCCAACATATAAGCACACTGGACAAGTCCTCAGTCTCTGACCACAGGCTCCCAATTAGGACTCCACGTTCACTGTCGGCCATTATGAATGTGATAGCTCTATAATAATTTTTACAACAACAGTCCGTCCTTAAATTTTCCACTGAGATTCGAGGGATATACTTTTACAACGACTAAAACCCAGTAGACCCTCCGGAGTGTCGGAAATACGCGCGGAGTCGGACCGCCGCGAGAATTAACCACATCCATCTGTTTCGCTGAAATAGTACAGAGGGAACACGGATCGATATGTGGGTATTTTACGCGTCACGTGCCGTAATTTCAGTTTTAAAAAACGGTGAATGTCAAGCAGTGTCGCCTGATAGCAGACGGGGAGAAACGCAATTCCCAAATACCAACAGAGGGGAAAACTGGGTCTGATCTCCAGCCAACCTGACCGAGGTAATAATAAAAAAACAAAACAGAAACAGTGCTTTCAAAGACAGGATTATCTGGGCTAGGACATTTTTGAATTTACCTCAGGATGTCGGTGGGATTGCCTCAAGTTTCTTCGTCCGTCAGCCGGTCACAAAACTGAGTCCAAGAAGGGCAAACACTGTTATCGCGCCGTCTCTCCTCTCTCCCTCTCTCTCTCTCCCCCCCTCTCTCTCTCGCTCTGTCTTTTCAAACAACGTCACTCCCGAAAATCCGTGCACGTTTTTTTTTCCCCCACCTCCTAATTTCCACGGTTTTCTCTCTCTTTGTCCCGTCTTTTGAATTCTTAATCATCGCCTTTTTTCCTCGGGAGTGATTAATATCAGTATTATGTCCATCATCACTCATAATTATATCCACCACCTCCGCCACCGGCGTGATCATCGTGATCATCATTCATCACGTATCAATACATCACTCTCATCTGCCTTATGTGCTGGAGTTTCCTGTGCACAAGAATTTTTCCAGTACAATTGCACTCACAACCTACGCTGTTTCTTTGTTATAAGAGTTCAGTAATACTTTTATTTTCCTAAAAGGTATTTTTCCAGAGTTTATGTGTTCTAAACCCTTAATTGGAACTTAATAGATAATATACTTAAGCTTCACATAGTACTTCTAAGATATTACTAAGATCAAAAACACATTATTGAGCTTTGGGTCGCCAGGCTATTTAGAAAATTAAAGCATTATCTCACTCCATTAGTGTGGAGGAGAGGTTGACTAAGGCACCGTAGGCTATGCCACAAGTCACTTTAGAAACATTAATCATATTAAAGGGAAAATTTTAAAAGGATTTTTGGTACAACTTTTAATAATATTGGTTTTTAAGAAAGACTAATGTTTCAAGCCATTGTTAATAAATCTACTAATCCACTAATATATTTGGGTTGCCAGACATATTGGGGGGGGGGGGGGGGGGGGAGCAAAAAAGACCAATGCATATGTTATTGTCGGTTATAAGAAAAATATTATTTATGCAATATAATGTTGGTTGTCCCAACTGTTATTGGGTTAGAGGCAGGGTGGACCTCGGATAGGCCCCCAGTCTATTACAGGGCTAACACAGAGAGAACGACAACCATTCACACTCACATTCACACCTACAGCCAATTTAAAATCACCAGTTAAGTTAAAACTGCCTGTTAAAGAAAGCCAGAGAGAAGTACCACACATACAAAGAGAACATGCAAACTCCAAACAGAAAGGCCCCGACCAGCTGCTGGATTCGAACCCAGGACCTTCTTGCTTTGAAGTGACAGTGCTAAAGGTGCCTCCCATGATCTGAGGCAACAAAAACCTTCATAAACGTTATTTAAAAAAATGATACTAAATTTTATTTCCTAAAGTTTTCTGTAACATCGTGTTACAGTTAATCATGCAGAGACATTCACTGCTTTACTTTATGCTTCTAATACAAAGAAGAAGAAGAAAGTATAAAGTCTTTATAAACCCTGCCTCCGTAGAAAGTGATGCCAAAAGTTTTTTGTTTTAAAGTTTCATCGATCTATTGGTTTTAATCATGATAATCACTATGAGTCACTTTTAGTAAAGGAGCCTTTTTCAGCACTCTCAATCCCTGTCTTTATTCTATTGGAGCATTATTAAAGCTGACCTTTTGACACTGGTAACACAGATACAGAGCATCAAATGTTATTGTTTCGTCAAAGATACCAGTATGTCAGAGATGACTGCTCTCAGACCCAGCTTGTGAGATATCAACTCTTTGTCACGACCAATGACTGTTTTCTACAATCGTTGATCACGACTGTGTAGCATCACATTTTAACCCACTGAGGGCTCTTAATATTCATCGTACCTCATGGATTGTCAGCTTGAATAGCGTCCAGCCCACCATCCCACAGCAACCCTAGTTGGAAGTGGGTATGATGGATGGATGGAAGGAAGGAAGGATGGATGGATGGATGGATGGATGGAAGGAATGAAGGATGGATGGATGGATGGATGGATGGATGGATGGATGGATGGATGGATGGAGTACAGTGAATCAAGAGACCAGGCGGAAAAAAACCCCCAAAGAGCAAGTCAAAAGACTTGAGACAAAGTGCAAAACATAAAAGCTCCCAGACAACTCATGGATTGCTTTTTCCAGGTTAAAAATCTTGTGATTTACATCCCAACTCCCGCTGATTTCTTATCTCAACTTCAACACAGTCTGAAACAGAACCTTTTGCTGTCACCATCCAAGATTTCCAGTGGGTTGCTGTATTAACATCAAAAGGACATCTCTGTGGGTATCCCTGTGAGGCCAGCAGCTCTGACAAAATGAGAATATTTGGGATGTGGCTGAGTTTCTTAGTACTCTGCTAATTGACAGGTGATGACATTCAAAGTGAAAATAGAAATGAACTCAGTTTATAATGTGCACATTTCTTGTAGCTCAAGTATACTCACTGCATTTCATGAGTATACAAACTATACAAATATCTTGTGTTTCCATCCATGCATCCAAATATGCTTACCGTATAAATAAAACGGTGCATTTACTGTTGTTATAATAGCATTTGAAATGTCCCTTTTTCTATAATATACCACTTTCTTAACAGGGCCATCATTAACAGCATCATTATCGCCAACAAATCATCACCCGATTACCGCCCAGTGATAACATTATTACATTCATGTTAATCAGACCACCTTTATCATCACCACGGTCCTATTTTCAAAAAGCTATTACCTCAGCCTTATCACTTAAGAACAAATTATACCTCGTCATCTTCGCACACATGCCAAAGCATGCGCACACCCACATTTCATTAGGCTGATATACCCTCCTCAGTCATTACACGTGTGCAAAGGCCAGTATCTTCACTGTGCACTGTACCTGTAGATTGACTCCACCTGAAAGTCTTTGAAGAACACAGAGAGAGTGGGAGGGAGGAGTGGGGTGCATGTGTGACCATTAGAATAGTAAGAGACGGAGACTGCTCTCTCTGTGTTATAGAAACACAGTATAAGAGGGCCAGCCAGACGGCAGAGCATGAAAGGACTGATTTATCCCCTTGGGAGAGACTCTGTGTGTGTGTGCGTGTGTGTGTGTGTGTGTGTGTGTGTGTGTGTGCGTGTGTGTGTGTGTGTGTGTGTGTGTGTGTGTGTGTGTGTGTAAGAGAGAAAGTAAAGACAGGAGCAGTATGTACATGCCTGTTTTGCTCTCTCTATTATTGAACTATAGAGTGGGTGATTACATGATTAAATTAAACAGATGCATTTGTGTGTGTTGGTTCTTCTCTTCCACAGGCCAGGGTGCGCGTCTGCCTGGATGCGCTTCACTTTTACTGCAGCCTGGAGAGTCAGTTTTGCCATACATATGTTTGGCAGGCACACTCAGTTGGCCAGGCAGCAGAATCAGGCTGGATATATTGTACCCAGTACCAGAAAATACGCTTTTAGGCTTTTTAGACACTGTGTAAAGAAACAACTTGTACCACAAAAGCGAGCGCATTTACTGTGTTCTCAGACATCACAGATTTAGCCGGGGTATCAGTTCTTTCTCAACTTTACGGTTTATGATCAAGTAAAAACCATGCGAGTTTCAAGTTAAAAGGCTCAGTTAGCCCAAATTACATAAACACACTTTCACACGTAGCTCTTCTACTCGTGCAAACAGCTTTGGTTTTATCTGAAAAGTGCTCTCTGTGATTTCTGCCCCTATCTTAATACAATGGCCAAGAAAATGGAAATTTAGTTTGGGCTGCTCATCACCGTGAAAAATTACGTTTTATTAAATGTAAGAATGCCTCTTTTTCAGAAATAGCACAACAGTTCAATAGGCTCTGCATAATCCCCAGACCTCACTGAAGCAGATCACAATCTAAGACCGTCCACTGTTTCTGTCCTGATCGATCAATTCTAATGAATTCAGTAATCCCATGGTCTATTATCTAGTGAATTCATCTAGTCAAAACTTTAATGGATGTAATTCTTTTTACCTAATAACCTTTCTGACACTAAGGGCTGAGCACAAGAGAATGTTAGCAAGCTGAGCTATAATATTTATGATAAAGTGAGGCATACTCTGGCTGGATCGCAGCAATCTGTAAGGTAACTGGTGGGTCATGAGAACCACAGAGATTGGTCTATTGTTGGTAACTAATCAGTTTGTTTGGTTTTTATGTCTTTAGGTTTTTTTAGCCAACAGAGTAGTTAAGCTAACAAAAAGTAGTGCAAGAACAAGACAGAAACTAGAGCAAGGCCTTTTCCCATAAATCTGAAAACATGAGTGTGTGTGGATGTATCCTGAGCGAAAGACCTTCAACAGCTTTGTTCAGAAAAAGAAAGAGAAGGGGGTGAGCCATTGTACTCAGCGGATGACAAACATCCATCCATCCATCTATTTTTTAAACCACTTTGTCTGTAGGTTTTTGTATGTACACTGTGTTCTCATACTTTTATTTTTCATGGTCATATTGTGTTCCTTCTCTGAACCATACCAGACATTGTGAAGTTTGTTCATTTCATTTTTAGGTTTTAGTTTTATTTGTCTTTTTTTTAGTTTAGTTTTGTATAGCTAGCAAGGCAGTAAAATAGATGATAGCGAATTAGCTTGCTAGCATGCTAACCGTATTAGATGATACTTTAGATGATGTTTTCATACTTTGACAAGTAGTATTTTTTCCAGTGCTTGGATGTGCTCAATACTGAGGTACAGCATACACGTATTTGAAGGAAAGCTGCTCTAAGTCAAAAGATTTTTTTATAGAGCGCAGTCTTCTGCATTACCAATAATGGCTACTAGATATACACTACAAATTAGCCCAGCTGTTTTCCCACTTAATTAATTTTTGAATTAACATTATCTCAAATCAAATCAAATCAAATCACTTTTTATTGTCACATCACATGTGCAGGCACACTGGCACAGCACATGCGAGTGAAATTCTTGTGTGCGAGCCCCACAAGCAACAGAGATGTGCAAACACAACAACACAAACGAGCAAAATACAAGAATGGCCAACCTGAAACTAATAAATATATGTACAATATATAATAGTGTATGCATTTCTGGATGTGTATACTAAATATTTTCCTACGTGTGTGTGTGTGTGTGTGTGTGTGTGTATACACATTTTTACAAATTAAATAGTAAAAAATAAAATAAATAATAATAATAATAATAAAATATA